CCCCCCCCCCCCCCCCCCCCCCCCCTCTCTCTCTCTCTCACACACACACACACACACACACACACACACACACACACACACACACACGCACACACACACACACACACACACACACACAAAACACACACACGCTCACACAAGAGGTCACTGTTGGTGCGTTGGAGCAAGGTCGCACACGCTGCCACGTCACATAACAAAGAGAGCACATGGCAGCGGGGGACGGGACGGCCTTCGACGGCCTACGACGTCGGAGGGAGACAGACGCGGGAGGGGCACGGTAACGGCCAGAGAAGGAGCCGGGACGGGATGGGAAGGGCCGGCCGGGACGGCCTACAACGGCACGGGACGGCCTGGGACCGCATTGGCCCTGGCGCTGTCATTAACGCTTTTTCAAACTGGGATTCTGATATTACCGCTTGCTCCTGTTTTTTTTTGCCTTTTCGAACTGTGTCCGTTCCTGCAGTGCCATTTCGTGTTTTTTTTGCCTATTCGAACTCAAAACCTGCGGTGTCCGCCGTTGTTTCTTTTCCTAAACAGGAAATACACGAACGAAATTCAACGAATAGGGGCAGAAAAAAACGAAATAGAAAAATCAGGAACATAGATTGCATGCTGATCGTTTTGCGGGAAACGAAAACATTCCCGGCGGAGAATTCCATTCACTCTTCGTGCTGGTCGTTCAAGCACAAGCGAAGCAGGCTTAAAGGCTAAGTCTCTGTTCGTTAAGAAAGCGTGGAGAGACAGTGGCGCCATGAGATCGAGAACCAGCTAGCGACTGCAAATACAAGGAGGGCTCAGACCACTTGGCAGGAAGAGCAAGGCATACACTCCACAGGAACCAACAACGGGTGCTACGCGCAAACGCACTGCAATCATGACAGAGGGGGGACACGCGAACACATTGGGAAAAGTTATAGAAGCCCCCCGCGGCAAAACCTTTGTATCCATATCTCCCCAAAAATGGACTTGCTGCATTTGAGGTCCCCCAATAACTTTTCTGTATTTTTTGCTCCCCGGTAGGGCCTCAGACCGGGCCTGAGGCTGCGGAAGCTGATAAGCTTGGCTCTTTTCGAAGTTTCCGTTCGGCCTGCGGCACACTTGCACTTCCTTGGATGTATCTTTCCCGAATCGGGCCCAGGTGAGGTGAAGGCTCAAGTACCTTGCGGCACACTTGCACTTCCTTGGATGTATCTTTCCCGAATCGGGCCCAGGTGAGGTGAAGGCTCAAGTACCTTTGGCCGTACTGGGCCGGTAACGCCCGCAATGCAAAAATGGCGGGAAGTCATTTTCGGACCTGCGGCACATTTGCACTTTCTTGGATGTATGTTGCTCGAATCGGGCCCAGGTGAGGTGAAGGCCCGAGTACCTCTGGCCCCGTACTGGGTAATGCCCGCTATGCAAAAATGGCGGGAAGTCATTTTCGGACCTGCGTCACACTTACACTTTCTTGGATGTATCTTTCTTGAATCGGGCGCAGGTGAGGTGAAGGAAGTGGGGACGCGAGTATGCTATGCCCTCTCGAATGTACCGAACCCGACTATCGCCCACGTACAACTGGGTTGGCTTGCGGCTGGAAATCAAGCTGAGGCGGCCTCAGGCCCGGTCTGAGACCCTACCGGCCTCAGACCGGGGTGCAAGAATGACAGAAAAGTTTGTGGGGGACCTCCGACGCAACAAGTCCATTTTGGGGAGAAATCGCTACAAAGGTTTCACCGCGGGGGGCATCTATAACTTTTCTCGAACACATTGATACATCATACAGGCGAAAAATGCACCGATTTCAAGAAATTGAACATATGCAGGAATTCATTGGAAAAGACGATTCTTCATTACCAGAAGAGATCATATTCATGTTAATATCCCACTTCGGGCCTCCGCGGTCGAGATTCAAGATACTCCCTCTGAATTCAACTGCAACGCTGAGCGCCTTCTGTGGGTGTCTACTCGCACTCTGTGCGTCACACACGAACACATGGAGCAAGCGAACGAGCAAGCGAGCTAGCAAACAAAAGGGGGGGGGAGAGAGAGAGAGAGAGAGAGAGAGAGAGAGAGAGAGCTAGGTAGCCTGCCTTGTTGTTTGCTACGGCCGTCTACTTCATCTTTACGCAACAGTTCTCGCACTCGGGTTGGGGTCTTCCCCACCGGAAGTGCTACATGCCAGCCTATTCTTTTCCAGGTTTAGAAATTACAGGACGTGGAAACTCGCTCGCCCGCCAGACATTAAACACGTACTATATATAATTATAATGATGGTTGACTGACCAGTTCCACAACTGGCTGTGTAGGCTTCCTATTGAGCTCCATCAGCAAAGTGCTCTTGGACACACGTCCGCTCGCCTGTGTCGGTGATGTCGCCAGTTCTTAGCAGACCGCGTGCCCCTGACAATGCAGCTGCGGACCGATAGATAGATTCATCCACTTAGCTCCATGTTGGGCTCCTCCCGGTCGCTCGTTCTGCTTCTCTCCAAGTAGCTTGCTGATGTAGAACGACCGCCCGGCGCCCTGTTGTTGACGCCTGGTTTAATCAGCTTAGAGCATCCTCACATTACGACTTTCTTCTGAACTGTGCATCTGGCTGCATTTGCAGCCAGATGCTCCAGAAACGCTTTAGTGCGCGTATGCCCTTAGCACTTCTTCCAGAGGAGACGAAAATCCACGCTGGCGACGGTGATCGAGCCCCCCCTTACTCTTGCCTCGAAATTGATATAGAGCTTCACCGACTCAGTGCCACACGGCGAATAGATGAAGGTTAAGAACTTCTCGGTGAGCTCAAAGTTGCCTTCCGTGGGAGGAGGCAGTTTGCGCTGCAATCTGACTGTCTCTGGAATACCTGGGAAGTAGTACGAGGCTGCCAGTGAACCCTCGCCGCCTTTTGAGTTCCCGCGGAATGTCACACTCTCCAGAGTAAACACGAACCCAGCAGGATAGGTCAGGCCGATGGACAGTTGGCAGTTTTTCCGCCGGTCGGCTGCACTTTCTGGGCTGAACGCCGTGTACTTGTCGAAAACTACAGTGAACGTCGTTGCGTCAGAGGAGACTACGCCCCCCGAACTTCCAGGCGGACAGCCAGAGCCAGAATAGGTGAAGCTGTCGATCTTTACCATACCAGATGGCGGACTTTGAGCAAGTCCAGGAACAGCAAGCTGGAGAAGCCCCAGCAACAGCAAGACGACCATCGCCGCCATCGTAGACGTGGACTGGGAAAGGCTGTGCCTGTGCCTGATCATCTTCGTCTTCGCCTTTCGCCTCACCTTGCTCTTGTCTCCAAGCGCCCAGCAACAGATGAGCGCAACAGATGAGTTTTTCCGGCGATGGCAGCAAATAACACCCTCCCCCCCAATTCGCCGCTCCCAAAGCTGTTCGCCTGGAGCCGGCCCCTGAGCTCCCTCTCCTCGGCTGAAATGCCGTGGAAAAAGAGAGAGCGGACGCCACTTCTCGCAGCTCCTGCCTGCGATCCCCAAAGACCACCACGATCACTAAACACATCGCAGCGCACTGTACACAAGAGTGCCCCCGCCAATGCGCCTTTATACGCAGCCGGAGGGGAAGTGTGCCTGTGTCCCCCGAGAGCACAGCGCATCAAGATCACAAAAAAGCATGCAAACGCTGTATAGTGAGCTGCTGGTCCGACAGACTCCTTGTGAGGAGGGTGTGCTCTGTAGGGGGAGGAACGCAGCCTAAAGGCGTACCCTATGGCAGCGTGGAGAGCACATGCCCATCAGATAAAGGGAGTCGCTGCACTACTCTCCACATGCACAAAAGACAAAAAATATGGCAATGAATCTTTTCCATATTCGACCGAAGGATTCATTTTCGTTTTTCACATTTCGAGAGTAGTGCAGCGAGGCCCAAATTTAGCGGGAGAGAAACCCGAAAGCGGGCCCAATTGCATGTGTCGGGTGTCAAAAAGAACAAAACGAGGACGGTTGGGCCTCGCTCCACAACAGTTAGGGGCTCGCCACACCACTATCGAATCACGTTTTTTTTGGATAGGTGTCAGAAAAATTCGATAGTGTGGACTTCGATAGAAAACCCCCCTAAGAAACAGAGGGGCGGCCGCGGCGGCGGTCCGGTAGCGCTAAAAATAGCGCTAATCGTTAGCGCTAATCCTGCGCCTCGGCGCAGTTTTTACGCTAGCTATGATTAGAGCTAGGGTTAGTGATACCGTCCGCCTCCCCCGCTCGCCTTACTCGTTCGTGGCATGCATGTCAGAGAGATGGCTACCACTCAGTTACTATCTATCTCTTTCTCCTTGACATCTGCTTTCGGCGAAGGTCCAACAGGCGTCCGGGTATTATCAGGACCCTTTGACCCGGGCTATGCCCTCCTCCCAGTCGAAGTAACGCTGGACAGGTAAATCTCTCCACACTTCTTGATTGAGGGGGATGGTGATTACCCTTTATTTATCTGAGGCTTCCTTATTAATAAAGTTATGAGAGTATTTGTTTGAATGTTTGTTTATTAATTCAGAGTGAGTTCTTGCTAACGAGTGAATTCGGCGGATTGCTGTCTCGGATAGGTATTAGATCGGAAGCTCGATTGAAAAGTTACGATGGGGGAAATTCCAACATCGTCTGCTCCACTATCCGGTTCTGAGAAAGAACGAATTCAAAATCTAATCAACAGTTGCTATTGTGAAGGAATTTTTCCAAAAAACCTTCGTCCGCAGATAGTAGAATCTGGGAAGGACTATGGCCGTGTGCTGGTCAACCCAGAGGTATATCGCATTCAGCGTAAATGGCTGATGGAAAACGCAGTGACGATTGCCTTCGGTGGTGACTCTAGCTCGTTACCCGCAACGGTTAAGGAACGGTTAGTGTGTATTCATGAGAATGGCTGGGCCAAGAACGGCAACGTAGAGGCCCCACCAAAACGAGGCATTTTTCGTAATGAAGGTTTTAATTTGGTAACCTACGTGGCGTCGGCGAAAGAAATCACCACATGGCTCCTTAGAAAGAAGGAGAACACGGTCATTTTGGATGGAAAATCGTACACGCTCACGATCAGACCATGGATGTCGGAGGCTGAGCTGTATGATTGGAGAGAATCCATGCGGTATAAATTTTTTTGGATTCGTTGCCTCCAGGTCCCTATTGGGGTCTTACCTCACCTTGAAGGGGCTATTGAAGCACTGTATGGGAAAATACTGAAGTCCTACCCGGTTTTCAAAGATAAAAAAACACCTTCCCTGCTGAATATTCGTTTTGATGTGGAGTCTTCCGCACGTACCCACTACAAAAGGTACTTGGTGGTGGATATGGAGGAAGGAGGTTTTGTGGAGGTGGAAGTGATTTGTCCTGCTACGCCATGGTGTGAACGTTGTCGTAGATACTTTCACGATGAATCTGATGATGAGTGCCCTTACAAAAAGAAGTATCTCAAGAAGGCACCGGCCGTCCCACCGAAGGGAAAAGGGAAAACCCCGGTTAACCTGGATCCGCAACCCAAGAAGGGGACTGGGAAAGAAACCAAAACCTGGCGGAGGAAGGAAGGGGGGCCAGGTACGGCGCCCCATGAACCTGTGAAACAGAACCCCCAACCTGGCATGGGTCAGGGAACGGGCAACGCTCTAGGGAAGGAAGAAATTCACCAGGCTCAGGGGAAAAGCAGATCCCCCTCGTATAGGGATGTTCTGAACCCCCCCCCCCCGCCGGGTAACAGAAATCAGAACGCTCATAATCCCCAGCCTCTGACAGGGAGGACTGAGGCAACGATGGTAGAAGCCATTCAGCAGGGTGCTGGCGGACAATCTTCAGGTATTCCCCCAGCAGTTGTAGATAACAGCAATTCTCAGCTGACAGAAAAAGGCACTATACCTGCTTCAGAGAAATCAACAGAAAACAAGTCGCAGAAGGGGGACTCGGATACAGAAATGGAGGAGAGGAAGGGGGGAACGGAAGATGAGCAGGACGAAGAGGAGGAAGAAGAGGAGGAATTCGATGAAGAGGAAGAAGATGAGGAGGAGGAAAGACTATTAGAGAATAACTCCCCCCCCCCCCCCCCCCCCCCCCCCCCCTCCCCTGTGCCCTCGCCAGAAACAGGTAAGGCAGCAGACACTCTAACCCGGTGGGAATCATCGGGGGAACAATGGCACCTGCCTGACCTGTTTGACGGTAAGAATTCGTGCTTGAGCACAGCGGAACCAGCTAACCCCATCAAATGCCCTCCGGAGGATGAAAATGAAGATCCGGATCAGGAATTCTTTTCCCCAGCGGAAAATCATGAGCGGGTTCCTACTGCAAACTCAACAGAGGAAAAAAAGAAATCCTCTGTGTAGTATAAGAAGAAGAGCTCTGTGTCCGCTCGGGGACAGGAGAGTCGTCATAAGAAAAAGACTACCCTTCGGGTTGACGGCAACCTAGCAGGTGATGTATTATCTCCTGCCAAGCGCTCACGCATTGATTTGAATAAAAGGGCGCCACGGATACAGGAGGAGGGAAGCCCAGGAGAGGAAATTGTGAGAAGCTCTGCAAAGAAAAGAGGGCGCCCCGATGGTTTAAATGCGGTCAAACGCTCTCTCTCTCCTGCAGCCCCTACAAAAACGCTCTCTAGAACAGACAAAGCCTTGGGCTGCCTCCCCCTCTATCTAGTTCCGCTGGTCTGTACCCCGTCCACTTCGGGAGCCCAGATCTTGACGTTCTCCTCGGAGGAAGGTAAGTTAAAGCTACCTACTATTCCAATTTATTGCCCCCCTTCGAGTTAGGATGTCACCAGGATGTTTAAAAAGCATTTCCTATTTGATTTAGCTGAAACAGGGATTATGCCTGAACCTAAGATGGCCAGGCACCTGGTGGAAGCACCGGGGGAAGGCAAAGTTGCACTTTTTTTGGCCTTTTTGGCCCTCGACTTTCAGCAGGGTAAAGATGCATCGTCAGCCCCCCCTCATTTCCATTGGGTAGAGATTTCCCACTTCGCCTCGCCGCACTCGGAAATGCTCCAAAGCATAACCCTGGCCAACTTATTGACGGCCAAGGTGGTAGCTGAGTGGTTAATTCACTCAGACAACCTACGGTTGACCCAGTCAGCGTCTTTCAGGGAACAGATCTACAAAACACAGGCTGAAATCGCAAAAAGGGCTGCATCTACGTCTAAGACCCAGTCCATTCCAGCAGTAACAGAGTTAGACTCAAACAACAGCCGAATCCAACTCAACAACGGCAAGGACTCACTTTATGGTCCTCCCCAACAAAATTAGAATATTGAATTGGAATGTAAGAGGTTTAGGTGACTCTAACAATACCTTTAAAAAAAATCGATTGTCGTCTTGGATCCACTCCAAAAATGCTCATTTGATCTGTCTACAGGAAACCAAACTTGATGCGGAAAAAATTGTGGAAGCCCAAAGATGGTGGTTGGGCCCGCAAGTTTGGGCTCCTGCAGATGGGTCGAAGGGAGCAGTTGCTGTACTTATCAATAAAGATTTGGATGTGGTAGTCCTTGATAGTTGTGTGGATAATGAGGGTCGGTGGGCTTGGGTAAAAATAGCAGTTGAAGAAGAGGACTGGGCAATAATGTCAGTTTATGCGCCAGTCGAATACCCTGCCCGCATCGATTTCTTTGCGAACTTACCAAAATACATCCCTGACACGGAAAACTTGATCTTGGCAGGGGACTGGAATACAGTCCTCGTTCCAGGTCTCGACTCCCCACGTCCGGGGCCTCTAAGAACGGATGCTCAGTTACTCTCTGAACTGGTTAATTCTCAGAGCCTTTTCGATACATATCGGACGCTGAACCCTGATTCAGCGGGTTATACTTGGCATGGTCCTAGACCTTCTCCTCGTGCTCCTCAACCCAAAAAAAGACTGGATGTCATTTATGCGCGGGGTTCCCCTTGGGATCGCTGTATTGGGGCGGAACTGATGTATGGATCGATGTCCGACCACAATCCGGTGGTCATGGACATCATAGCGAAAGATGTAATCGAAAAGTTTAAACCCCCGTTCAGATTAAATGTTAAAATTTTGAGAGATCCGGTGATCCCGTCATGGGTGTCTACACAGGTAAAAGACTGGGACAAGGCTAGAGACCTCTTCTGCAGTATAGAGGAGTGAGCAGACACGGGGATTGCTATTATTCAGGCTGCTATGGAGGAATTCTCCAGGATGAAAGCAGCAGCCCGCTCATGGAAAGAGAAATGTCTGTTGGCCACTATCGAAGAAGCAGAGAATTCAATGGGGGAAGACCCCTTCATAGAGTATTATTGGTCAACTAAGAGAACAGCGGCACGCTTGGAATTAGAGCACCTGGAGATTCAACGTCAGTCTGATTGGTTAGACTGGCTAAAGGTGAGAGGGGTTATTGGCTACGACCGATGACTAAACTTACCTTCCGGTCGCTGATCCTCTGTCAAGCAAAACCCCTAATGAGGGAATTGAGTCATCCTTTTGCTCTGACGGCCCCTCTTGCCACAGACACCACCCAAATATGTTTCTATGCAATGCAATATTTTAAGGACATAGTGACCACCAGACGTCCATATGACTCCTT